GAAAAAGAGCTATTGACTAAGTGAAGTTAGTTAACTGCACATTCTTCTGGTACGCTAATTTGCTTACTTATGCCAGCTGTGCTGCCTACTTTTGTGATCACGAATATAAAATAACATCGGCTTAACGTCGTCACTCGATTCTTGAATGCAATCCCGCCAGAATTTTATAATTTTTATTGCTCTTCTGCTAGATATACTTATGACTTCCTTCAGTTTTATCATTAACTCAACCTTGCAATTGCTAACAGGTACTAACTTCTGATAGAAGGCTTTATTGCATAGATAGGAGTCAACACGAGAACGTGAGCGATTTAATGTCTAAACACTATTTAATAGCGTGTGTCTCTCTAATTCCATTGAATCGAGAATTTAGTGTAAAGCGAGCCACGAGCCTTAAACCCTGTGTTAACCATTAGTTTGTTATTGGAGAATAATTAATTTTGGAGCAGAGGCTGAACGTTGTAAATTTGATGAAGAGAAATTAAGAACCTGTGAACCTTGGTTCAAAACACATAGGCAACCTTTTGGATCACTGATAATTGTGACAACTGGTCTTTTATGAAATAAATTTAACTTTGCGATAATTCAGGTACAACTAAAGTTTCGAAAACTAAGGACATGTTCTCGCTATAATCCATTCCACAAGTAAGTTTGCTTGGCCAAACAGCACTTAAATTTATTCACATCTCAACCCACCTCCGAACACACCTCCTGTGTAAGCCAATTGGAACCGATCTTGTGCACAGCTGTCAATCTGATTCAATCTGCATGAGCAGGGATGAGTTTATACGCTAGGCTGCACACATTTCAAAACAACTTTGGTAAGAACTATGTTACTCGAAACAATTTGTTCAAATAGGATGTGGTTAGACTTATTATGGAACTGAATACATTTAGCAGATATTTTAACGAAATAAACGACTAAACGTACTAAGTTTGCTTGGTTTAGTTGCGTTCATATCACTCAAGGCTCAGTATGATTTATGAAATTTTTCCCAGAAAAGCGTTACACATGAATTCGAAAATTTGAATCAAAGTATCTGATCCTTAACTATAACATTGAAAAGCGCACTCTGTCATTAAAATTAAGTGAAAAATTGCTTCTTCGGGAGAAGATGTGTGGTAGTGTCTCCTTCAAATCAAATCAACTATTTCAGCCGAGAACGTTGTTAACTTGATCGCATAGATTTTGCCACAATTTTCCGGTGAAATAAGTGCGATTGTCAAGAGGACTCAGCGAGAGTATATTGTAGATAGCTAAGAGTGAATTATGAAAGTTCTAAGAGACCTAAGCTCGTTATCCTGTATTAGCCATAACACCAATCACAAATTTGAAGAAATATCACGATATTTTAAGAGGTCAAAATCCAAAGCAAACCTTGTCAATCCTCCATCATTAGACATCTTTACAGACAGAAGATATGTCTCGATAGAAAGCGGAAGTTACGGTGGTCGTACACTACTACCCTTCCTATAGTTACAGTTGGAAACTTAAACGCCAGCAGGCTGCAGTGATCGTCAATTCTTTTCATAAACAACTCAGTAATACTTAGCGAAGGAGTTATTCTACCACAACGTTACGCTTTTGTCAAATTTTCATAAACGATGGAACAAATCTAAATCTACTTCGGAATTAAGTTGTCATCTTGTGACGAGTCGTTTAGAAAGTTGTTGATTGTGTGCGAAATAAAACGTTTCGGATAACCTGCATTGATGAAAGAAGTTTCTAGAGTTTTTATGTCCTTGTCAAAATCGGTAGAGATGCGTTTGGCTCTATGGAGTGCGCCAGTGATGCAATTCCTTTTCCACTTGGTAGGGACCTCAGATTTCCAATGTGTGGTAGTTTCCCCGGTTTCTTGAAGACGCTGCAATTGAACTTGTTGGTTTAACTAAAGGCAGTATCGAGGAAGTGGTCGGGGTTTTCCTCGACGGTGAAAACAATGTTAGGATGGTAGCGATTTAATCGTTCAAATGTTGGCCATTTAGAACCGATCTTGGCCAATTAGAACCGATCTTGTGCACAGCTGTCAATCTAATTCGATCTGCATGAGCTAGGACGGATGAGTTTCATTTTCTGAGACCCTACCCTAGTTACTTGTAAATTGTTCAACGACTACAATTTGAACTCGCCCAACGAGCTCGTAACCAATCTTTACGTGTGACACAACATTGTACGCCGCATTTGAATGGCGCTAGAATAACTTCATTATTTTTAATATAACTGAAACTTGAAAACTTGAAGCAAAGGTAAAAAATGTAGTACCTAGTGCCTGAGTATTACAGCGACCGGGGCTTTATGCAAAGAGATTAAACATAACCAAATGTGCCAACCGAGTATTTCCAAAGTCATGAATCGATCACGTGAAAAAAAAGACTCTAATACTTAACTATAACACATGAAAGCGGGGTCTGTCGTGAAAATGAAATGAAAGATTTGTTCTTTGAGAGAAAATCCCTGGTCGTGTCTTGTTCAGATCAACTTTGTTCTCTTTGCCGTTGTTATCTTAAACGCTTAGATTTTGCTACACTTTTCCAGTGAAATAAGTTAGATTACCAAGAGGACTCAGCAGAAGTATATTATAGATACCTAAGAGTGAATTATGAAAGTTCTGAGAGACGTAAGCCTGTTTTCCTATATTAACCATAGCACCAGTCATAAATTTTTACAAATATTACGATCTTTTTAAGAGGTCAAAATCTAAACTTCTGATTATATAGCATCAAAACATTTCTGTAATTACAGCCGGAAACTTAAGGAACAGTAAGCTGAACTGCTTATAAATTCTTTTCATGAGCTCCTCGGAAATGTTGAGCGAGGGAGTCATTCCACCTCAACGTTTACACTTTTGTCAAATTTGCGTTGACAAATTCAACTTCTTCAATAACAAATTATTCACCTTCAAATAATCTGACAACATAAATGATTTTTCAGTCTTGAGATCAAGCCAAGCTGACGCTCAAAAGTTAAGATTCTCGATTCAAAAAGTGACCAGAAGGCACAGTGCTGAGTATTTATATGAAAGATGGATGCACATACCTAAAATGTGTTCACCAGGCCTTCCAAAGAAAATTGATTCTCTGTAGATCGATAGAAGAACGAGTCCCACAGGAGAGGTGAAAGCGAAGAACGCTTGTCCAATTTAGCTTAACGAAAATAAATTCCCTTGTTAACACTTGCTTTAACGGACGTTGATGCGCTTTCCAAACGGAGTAACAGCTAGGGAATAATATTCCGTAAAGAGAAACTATTCGTGCGTCTCCAGCCACAACATGTAGTTAAACAGGCCTTAGCCGATTTCAAAATCACCGGCGAATATTTACCTTGATGCAAAGATTCTCAAGCCCTCACTGAGCTTGATTTGACCACAGACGCTTAGCTTTTTCCATATTGTCGACCATAATGTCGAGAAGAGTTTTAGAAAACGGAGTTATCAACATGAACGTTACAAGACGCTTCTAAACTGAAAAACGATTGATCCATCGCCTTGCGTCCATTGGGCCTGCGCAGATTGCGTGAATTGCAAAGTTAAGCCTACGTCATCATAACATAAATGATTTACTAGGTACAGCGGAAACGTAAATGCTGCCTTTAAAGGGATTTTGAAATAGGGCACACCTACTTGTTCTTACGGACTGAAAAAGAAAGACGTATCTTGGGACGATCCCAGTAATATCATCTGTGGAAATCGAAACGACATGAGCTTCTCTAATTCTTGCAGCTCAAGAAGTAATGATTTTTGTGCTGAGGAGATGGAACATTTTGATTCAAGGTGTAGTGATTTTAGTCGGTGGTTTTAAAGATAATTGTTGTGTACCCACATTTTTTCGCAATCTATCACCTACTTTGTATCCCTTTCATGTATTAGCTTGGTAGAATTAAAAATGGAAAAATCAAATCGATAGAATAACTTTAAAGGAACTGTCAAACAACATTTCTTATATACCATTGCATAAATTATATTACTGGAGGCAGGAAGTGGGCATTGACAGATTTAAGATAACATTGCATAAATTACATTATTTCATACATACTGAATGAACAACTGTGAAATACATTGTGCGTCCAATTAGGTACGAATAGTAAAATGTTACACATGAATTTGAAAATTTGTAATGATATTTCTGCTGAGGAGATGGAACATTTTGATGCAAGGTATAGTGATGTTAGACGGTGGTCAGATTAGATAATTGTTGTGTACTCGCATTTTATCGCAATCTATCACCCATTATTTATTAGCCATCACAGGAACTGAGCACTCTGATTTCATTGACTGAAATTTAATAAAGATGATCCAGATGAATTAGAGACTTAGGCTACATTTTGCGTTTGGAATCCATTAAAATTCGGCGCTTAGGTAAACTGCTGTTTCCTTTAAAAAATATCTTAATTTTGCAACTATAAAATCACCAGCATTCTCTTTTGATGCATGAATTTCAGTTCAGTTGCTTTTCCGTTCTGATCCCACGTAAACTGTTATTTGTCTCTGTTTGAATCGTTCGGAAATTTTGAATTTTTTCTTTTCGTTCGTATACTGACAGCCTAATAGCAGGCTTTCGTTATCAGTTCTGCGGATGAGCGTTTCTTCGCCCAAGAGTAATGTTAACTGGGAACCAGCAAGAAGAGCGCAGGGGATCCAGCACCAATCGCTTCTGCTTGTAGACCCCTCGCCGGTTAATGTCGCCCATGGCCCTTTTTTTTTCGCGGGCGAAAAAACGCTCGTACCGAAGCGCTTGGTTTTACATAAGCACATTTGACCATTTGAACCTTTGCATTCTCATCACTGCTCTTTTTTCAGTGATAATGAGACAAAAAAACTTATTTCGTAAGTTATTCATTCTCATAGGGTCTTATTATGTTCTCTGAAAGCCTTCTGTCGAGCATTGAACAAATAGCAGTTATCAAAATGATTGAAGCAAACCCGTAAATTAAGATAAAGGGCAAGAAATTTAAATGCGATACAATTTCAAATCAACCAATATCTTTTGTTTATGTTTTCAAGTAGGAACGGTGCAAGATTTTTCGCCTACGATAATGAATTATCAGATTATGAGGTAAGCACCTTTAGCAACTATAATGATGGCTTCCAAGCGTGATGCTAATGCAAATAAAGAATGGAACTCGTAACACACAACTTCGTAGTGGCATTTGATGAATTCCGAATTCAAAGGAAACGAAGATAGAAATTTGGAAAAGTACACTTAGGGCTACAAATTGAATCTTCGATGTCTTTATTGATAAGAATAAATTCGTTATCTGGCTTACCTGGTTCTTCCCCTTTAATTTTGCAATTGCTAAAAAAGAGGGAAAACGATAAATCCTTTTTTTCGCTGAAACGATGCGTATTCATAAACCAGACTGACAACATTTGACAGACCGTGACTTTTAATTATTCTAATGAAGACTACTCGATCGTCCAGATGATAGCAAGCAACGCGTGAACTATTACTATTCTTGAGCATAAGCAATTTACCGTCTTTGTAGGCCCAAGCATTGGTATTTGCTGATGATGGAACCTCTGATGAAGCATCATTCTTTGCTGAAGAGATAAATTTGCCCCCTGACTCGACAGTAGTTAGAGGCGAGGTACAGCGCCTTGAACCATGCACAGGAAACGAAGCCCTGGTTGTATTCCACTCTGTCCAGGTGGAAAATGTGCTTTCAGATCAACGGATGGAAATACCAGAGCAGCCATCCTACCAGCAGGGAGATCGTGCACTTCACAATGGATTGAGTGCACCTACCCTGGGACCAGCAGTGCAAGATGCTCCACCACCGGCCGATAGACTAGTGGGGTATCCAGCACAAGAGAGTGATCAGGATGTGCAAGGGACGTCAGAACTGCGGCTACCAAGGGGATACGATGATCAACCTCGATTTCAGTTGCAAATCAACGATTTCCAAGTAAATGTTATTAGCTCTCTCAGTGAGAATGACCAAGCAATTGAGCAAAGCTGTAATATGCAAGAGTTGCGATTGTGGAAAAATGAAATTGTCAGGCAAGTATCTAATCCTTAGGCTTAGGAGAATATTTCTTTCACTAAATCATTTGGTGTAACAGAGAAAGGATTGACTGTTGCTGATCAGTAAGAGCTTGCTAAGGGGTCTTTGCTTATTAGCTAGGCCATAAGAAACCGGAACTTTTTAACTTGCACAGCTCAATGCTTATCGGAAATACCTTCATTTTAAAACTTAATTTTCATACTACTTTTATGTAGGGCCGAACTAAAAGAGGCCACAAAAGGAATGAATGCAAGAGATACATTGTTCATAGCAAAGATTACTGAGGTTTGGCAGCATCGCCATGCTGATGTCAATGGAGGCACAACTGCTGTCTTCATCGGTCCCATCAAAACTTATAGCTATGGATACATGCTTGGCTTGAGGATATACCTCAACGGCGTAGGTGATGAAAGAGGCAGGTCTGTCGCCATCTTTGTGCACATGATGATGGGAGAGTACGACTTTCAAGTAAGGTGGCCTTTCACTCAGAGGATCACGCTGTCCATTATGGATCAGAGTGGTGCCGAACGCCATTTAAGCCAAATCCTTCAAGCCCAGCCCAACATGATGGCCTTTCAGAAGCCAACAGAAGTGATCAGTCCTACTGGATGCGGTTTTGTAAATTTTGCTTCTATAGAGGAAGTATTTAGTCATGCTTATGTAAAAGATGACAAGCTTTTTCTCAAAATTGAGTTTTCTCCCTAACTGCTACATATCGTGCTTCTCTCTACATATTCGATTGCAAAACGTTAAGCCTGAAAAAAGAAACCAATGAACGATAAGACCCAACGGCTTTAATTATGGGTATACAATTATTTAATGGCTACAATCGGTTTTGCATTGAAGTGATCGAAGCCGTTTACGGTTTTTTGAAGATGTGAACTGACGTAAACAAAGATTTTCATGAATAATGAAAAAGTAAAACATTGATTATGTGGGCTGTGCAAACATTTCCCGTATATCCGTTGGGTCTCATCGTTGCCAGATGTCGGCGTAACGTTTCTGCAATAGAGTATCTACACGACGTGTTCCGCTATCAGCCATGAGGGCGTTTTGAATTTGTCCTACTAGCCTCTTTCGATAGAGGTATGCGACATTTACTGGACGATAACTATTTTTGATTAGAAGTTTACAAATAATAATGCTACATTTGACAAACCCATTTACAGAATATCCTAATACCATAGTATCCGTGCTTAATTTCGTCCAGTTCTAGCATTGGCTCGTGATGTTATTATTATATGCGGACTTGTGCAACGTTGCCTGGATGCTAAAGTGAGTAATTTAAAGCTTTGATTTTTCCCACCAAAATACAAGGACATAAGAACATAATTCAGCAAACTACTATTTTACTCCTCTCTTCCTCATTAGCGGTCTATTTTTTCAATCCATTCAGTTTAGCCCAAAACTTCAAGAAGCTTCCTAAAACCCATATTTTTTCTAAGAGTTTACTCGAATCGATACGCACTTGAAATCCAGATTTCAACGTGAATCCAAAGCATTCACTGCAAGATAACTGGAATTGCTCATTTTATTTTTATAATCCAAAACAACGAAACAACTATCCTTTCTTAGAGAAACCCTATCTTAGAATAGGTAGATAGAAGTGAAATTAGGTGTATTGTGCTTTAAAAAAAAAGACATGCTTTAGTCGTTAAATTGAGTCGTACAATATTTTTCAGCTTGCTAGTTGTAACTTGTCACGGAGAAAATATTTTGAAGTCCACTATTTTGAACTCTTGATGCTGTTAAATTTGATAAGTTGTCGAGGCAACTAGTTGATTTTAAATTACATTGAAATTAAAAGTGAGCCTTAATTGTTTATTTGAGTAAAACTCATTTTTTCGAAAAACGACTAAAGAGGGTTTTAGATGAAGTTGCAGTCCTTTTGGAGAGGCAAAATATAAAAAAAAAAGAAAAAAAAAGAGAGAAACGGAAAAAATTGTTCATTCTTATTGATGTCCCGATCAACGCGTTAGATTAAAACATTTTTATCGATACAGGTGCCTTCTTGCGTCTTAGTAAGCCGTGTATGGCTATCTGAAGGAATGGGATCTTTGAAATTTACAGAGCTGGAAGATTGTAAATTATCGGAGACACTTGGGACCGAAAAAAAAGACACGAATCTCAAAGAAACGAACGGGTTGTCTTATCCCATTGGGGGCGCCGATCCATCCATTGCTTAAAAACGAAAGAAGAACAGACATTGATATATTTAAGCATTTTCGGTCAAATTAGTTTCGAGTAAATGATATGCCCTACCCAGGAACAGTTCATGCAACAGACTATTCTCAAGAAAAGATCCCTGCGTGGGAATATCACATATGCTAACGATAATTATCTAAAATAATAATGATAATAATTCAATAATGATAATAATGATGTTTACAATTTTTATTACTTTATTTCAGTGTCTCAGGGATCTAGCACCAGCTGAAGACATCCGCTAATTGGAGACTCTCAAATCACTATTACAATCCTTCTGACTTAACAAATACCATTTAAATTACTCATATTAACAACTGCATGTTACTAGGTTGAATCAATGTACAATCTAAAGAACGTACATTCCCTAAGATTCCATAATAAGAAGTAATATTTACATACAATTGAAAGAAATGGCTAAGAGTCACATTTGGGAATGGCACTTTTGATCCAAAAGCTCTTCTAAATGCATGTTCCTTATTCTTTTCTTAAATAAGTTTAAGGTCTTTGATTGTTTGACCCACGTCTCCCTTTTAAACTACAATACCGGACCTAAATGACTAGCGCTGTTTTCCAAAAGTAACATTGTTTAGCCTTGTGCCTCTGCGCAGCAACAGTTGGCCTTAACAGAAGTTTTTGTTTTAAATCACAAGTATATTAGGGTTTCGGATATTTTCATTTTAGATCTTAAGTTCGCTTACTTTTCTATCGAACCATCGGACACTCTCTCGTTAGTTTTCACAACCGTGGTATTAACCAATTAATATTCATGAAAATGTAAATAACAGCAGTTGCCTCGGCTGACGTCAAGCCAAGTCGCGCGTATTAAAAAGCGTTATGGCCTATACAAAGAGAAAATAGTCTTGAAGGGAAATTCCCTTTGCTGCTAATTAAGTCCGACATTATGTATAGTTCTCAGTTATGCTTTAAAACACGGAACTAAAATCCGAGGGAATTTGTGAAACATAGTCAGATCTATGCACATATCTTACAACAAATAACACTCGAGCTGGGTTTACAACAGTCGTCGGATCAATAAGATCAGTATTTGTTCCGGAGAAACCGAGCTCGACATGGATTTAATGGATATAATGAATTTAATGAACTTAGTCGAGTGACTTAACTTGGAAACATGCTAGACCCAGATAAAATACCAGCAGAGATCAGTTTTTATTCTTAAGCGTTATTTTAATTCAAGTGAGGGATCCCAATAATGGTTTAGCGTTGGAACGCGAGTATGATACAAGGTAAAGTTGCGTTTCAGCCATTTACTTATTTAGGAGAAAAATCTTGGCACTTGTTTAAAGTAAAGCAGTTTATCGTGCTTTTCAATGTTAGCTACAAAACTGTAGTTTTTGATCTGCGCACAAGGTAAAGTTGCGCTTCAGTCATTCACTTATTTAGGAAAAAATATATTGGTGCTTATTTAGCTCCTAAATACTAGTTTTTGATCTGCGTCTAAACGGTCCTGCAATCGCTCGTTGGTGTAAGTCAGGGGAATAAGCTCTGAAAAATCCCTCTAAAATCATTGTAAAGGGCGTTTTGTCGAAATCTTATCATTTCTTTTTACGCTTCACTGATGGAAATAACCTTGACATTAGGTTAGAACTGAGTGCGATCTGTAGAGACATCGAGATTATTAAAATGAAAATCGCTCGTCCCTTGAAAAGTTTTATATATATTAAAAAATTGAATACACTATAGATTGCAATACATCAGATAAAGAGCCATTGACTGAGTGAAATAGATAACTGCACATTCCTCTGGTACTCAAATTTGCTTATGCTGACTGCTAAAGACTCTCTTGCCTACTTTTGCACTCAAGAATAGAAGATAACTTCGGCCTAAAGTTGTCACACGATTTTTAAATGCAATTCCGCGAGAATTTCTGGTGGTCGAGTTTATCGCCGTGTTCTTGAATTCCAAGAGAATTGAAAGTGTCCCAACTTAAGTTACGTACGATAAAAAGCGAGCTTAGTTAAGATTTAAAATTTTGGGACGTTTTTCTTGGTTGTTAGCAACCAAGCGCGTCTCTATTCAGCCATGCAGAGTTTTGGGAATCGAGACACGTCTATCGACACCCGACTCGAACTACGGAATCATTATCACATTTCATTAACATAGTTTTGCCCATGCCACAGGCAAAAGCTCTGGGCTAGCTTTTTATATAGCAATTAGATTTGAAAAACTCGACGAAAATCTTGGCCCTAAAGTTTCTTGATTTAATTAGTTCTGCGTCAACGCTTTTCACATCTGTTTCGCTTTTTACTTTTTTTTAACGCAAAACTTAACATGACTTGACCATTTGAAGATCTCTTGGTGGCAATAAGGAAACATCACGCTAACTTGAATTGTGCCAAGAATTCTTAGAGGATTTTTTTCCAGTCTAAGGGTTCGAAGAGCCCAGTAGAGAAGAGTAAAATCTAACGTTTCCTTAAAAACGATTTAGAATTCTGTCAACCATAAGAAAAAGAATGAGCTAAGACTGTCAAAGTGTAACAAGACAATGTGGCTTTATCAACTGAGTCGATAATGTAAATTGGCCACTGTGAAAAATTTTTAATTAAAACTACTGTTTCGAGCGTTAGCACCTTATCAAAATGCTCTATATTTCATTTTGGTTTTTCTTCACTGTATTTGTATCAATAAGAAAAAATTTTAAGATTTGTTGATTGCATTGTATCGAAATCTGCACTGCTAATCTTTGCCAGACTATGATATCCAAAGAACTCGCCCAAATATGTTATCTGGTGCTTAAGTTCGCCTTTACTGTTATTTCCAGTTTTGACCAAACACGAAAATAATTACAATCGAAAGCTCTCAGAGTTAATTCGCAGATCCCTCCTGCTACAAAGAAAAAAAATATATACGTGTGTGTGTCAGGTCTCGATGCAAATAAATCTAATTTTTATAGCACTTCCATACATACACGGGATCATTGATAATTGTGACAGCTGGTCAATAAATAATTCGATTTAGCTTTCCGTTAATTCAGTTATAGCTGAGGTCCCGAAAAGTACGGAAATGTTCGAGCTTTATTCCATTCCTCAAAGACAGTTTGCTAAGCCAACAACACTTACATTTAATCACATCTTGAATCTCGGACCTCCACCTCCGAACACACCTCTTTTGTTAGCCAACTCGAACACATCTTGTACATCTCGAATCTGATTCGATCTTCACGAGCTGGAGAGCATGTCATTCCCTAAGACCGTATGCTCAGTTGCACACGTTTCACTGAAAACAACGTTAAAAAGCTATCATGCTCGGCTCGAAACGATATGTTTAAATAGGATATGGTCTGCGATAAAAATTAACTGAATATGTTGAATAGGACTGAATTATCGAAATAAACGACGAAATATACTTAAGCTTGCTTCGTTTATTTGTGTTCATATCGCTTAACGTCAAACATGATTTACGAAATATTTGCTAGTTAAAGCTTTACACATGAATTCGAAAATTGTATCGAAATATCTAGAAGTTAAAAAAACAGCGCA